TCTCATCTTCTTTCTGTAAATATGCTTTCCAAATAAAAATAATTTTTTTCTTAAAAGATTGGATTTTATTTAAGCAGATCTTGGAGTGCCTGGAGTGTTCCCCACCCCACCCATTACCCTTCATTTCACACACAGGCTTTTCCAGATGCCATAGCCTGTGAGTCCTGTTTTTTCATGCCAGGCCTCAGAGAGGCAGATGGCTTTATGTATTTATTTATTAAAAAGGTAAAGAGACAGAGAGCGAGTCAGAGACAGTGTCCCAGCTGCTAGTTCTTTCTCCAAATGTCCATAACAGCCAGGGTCGGGTCAGGCTGAAACCAGGAGCCAGGAGTTCCAACTGGGTCTCCTCTGTGGGGAGCCAGGACTCAAGCCCAGGAGTCAGCACCTGTTGCCTCCCAAGGTGAGCATTAGTGGGAAGCAGAGAGGAGAGCCACACTAAGACTTAAATCCTAATATGTGTGCAAGTGTCCCAAGTGCTGTCTTTTCTTTAAAAAAAAAAAAACTGTTTATTTGTTTTTATTTGAAAAGGCAGATGTACAGAGGAGAGACAGAGAAGGCTCTTGCATGTGCTGATTCATTCCTCAAATGGCCACAGTGGCTGGAGCTAAGCTGATCCAAAGCTAGGAGCCTGAGCTTCCCCTAGAGCTCCCAACATGGGTGCAGGAGCCCAAGGACTTGGCTCATCCTCCGTTGCCTTCTGCAGCAACAAGAAGAAGAGAGCTGGATTGGAAATGCAACAGCAGGGCTGGTGCTATGGCTCAACTAGGTAATCCTCTACTTCCAAGTACCAGCATCCCATATGGGCAACGGAGGAGGGCCCAAAGTCTTGGAATTCTGTACCCACGTGGGAGACCTGGAGGAAGCTTCTGCTCCTGGCTTCAGATTGGCTCAGCTCTGGCCGTTGCAGCCATCTGGGCAGTGAAAGGTCTTTCTCTCTATGTCTCTCCTTCTGTTTGTAAAATCTGCCTTTCCAAACAAAATAAATCTTAAAAGACAAAACAGGAAGTGGAGCAGCTGGAACATGAACGGTCACCTCTGCGGAATGCTGGTGCTTGCAGGTGGCTGGTTGGGTCACCGCACCAGTCCCGCAAGTGATGTCTCATCTGCTACTCAGTGTGCCTGACTTGAGAGGTAATTTCTGAAAGGCAGCTGATTGTTTGCATTAAGATTAGACAAGTCAGAAATGAATTTTTAAATTAAAAAGGCATTAGAAATTATGCAAGTGAAATCACATATAATCCTATTCCCGGGAGACAAATACCTCTGCTAGCCCCTCATTTTCTCTGCCTCAGTCCTCAGGAAGGGTTACTCTACTTCTCTCCAGATTTGCTGAGGATTAAAACTTACATTTTTTAAAATCTTTTGGCTTCAAGTATTGTTGGGATAAATATACCTAAGTACAGATTGTTTATATTATATGTAATTAGGGCATGCATCTTATACTTCATGAATTCATATTTCATTTCCATACATACAAAAGGGAGCTTCAAACAATTCATAAAATGTACATGAAAAAACTGTGGGTTTCAAAAAAAATTTTTTTAAAAGATTTATTTATTTTTACTGGAAAGACAAATTCACAGGAGAGACAGAGAGAAGGATCTTCCATCTGCTGGTCTACTCCCCAGGGGCCTACAACAGCCAGAGCTGAGCCAATCTGAAGCCAGGAGCCACAAGCTTCTTGTAGGTCTCTCATGCAGGTGCAGGGTCCCAAGGCTTTTGGCCATGCTCTATAGTTTTCCCAGGCCATTAACAGGGATCTGGAAGGGAAGTGGAGCAGCTGGGATACCAGCTGGCATCCATATGGGATCCTGGTGCATGCAAGGCAAGGACATTAGCCATTAGGCTACAGCACTGAGCCCAAAACTTTTTTGTGCCAAAATAAAGCTTACCTTTAATTTGGCTTTTCTTGGACTTTTAAAATTTTGTGTATTTGACTTGTATCAGTTACTTATTGTCACAAATAATGCTTCTAACAAATTTTTCTGTCAAACTCAGTTGGCTTAAGCCAAAAGTGACTTATTCTGTTCATGCTAGTGGGAGCAGGTTGGATGTCTGTTGATCTGGGCTGGACTCTTCTGAGTGGCTCACACTGAAGGTGCAGCTTTGGCTGTGGCTTTGGGCTCGCTCTGATGTCCAGGTTGGTGTGGCAGCAACTTCACAGAAAAACTCTTCTCTGGTTGCTGACATGGCTCCAAGCACTTTTCCAAGCCTCCACCTGTGTCTTGTCTGCTAACATTTCATTGGCTAAAGCAGATCATATGACCGGGTCCCAAACCAAAGATAGATAAGCAATATCTCACCCACCAAGACACCAAACTAAATCATCTGACCAGTCACCATCAGTGAGTCACATAATTGGTGAAGGGAAAGATTTTTTTTTCTATTGGAAAGTCAGATTTACAGAGAGAAATAGAGACAGAAAGACATTTTTAAAAATTATTAATTTTTATTGTATTTTTGACAATCTTTACATAGTTAGGGTAAAAAGGTTCAAGGGTTTGTAGGAAAGTGGGTAAGACTATTAAGATAGAAAGGCATTTCATTGGCTGGTTCACTCCCCAGGTGGCGACAATGACTGGAGCTGAGCTGTTCCAAAGCCACAAACTTCCTCCAGGTCTTCCACATAAGTACAGGATCCCAAGGCTTTGGACTATCCTCTACTGCTTTCCCAGACCACAAGCAGGGAGCTGCAGTGGAAGAGAAGCAGCTGGGACACAAACTGGGACCCATATGGGATCCCGATGGATGTAAGACGGGGATTTAGCCACTAGGCTATTGCACCGGGTCCGAGAGAATGTTTCTGAGAAAGATAGGTATAATCCATTGCACTTTGAGTTTTAAATATAATCTGAGAACTCACCCAGCTATTATCATAATATGGTAGGAGAGCAGGTAAGGGCCAGCGCTGTGGCAGTGGGCCCAGCTGGCATCCCATATGGATGCTGGTTTGTGTTCTGGCTGCTCTATGTCCCATCCACCTCCTTGGTATGGCACCTGGGAAGGCGGCAAAGATCCAAGTGATGAGGCTCCTGAGATCCATGTGGGAGAGGCAGATGAAGCTCCTGGTTCCTAGCTGCAGCCTGGCCCAGCTCTGACCATCGTGACCATTTGCGGAGTAAAGCAGCAGATGGAAAAACCCTCTTTCTCTCTCTTTTTCCTCTCCCTCTCCTTCTCTCTATAACTTTGCCTTTAAAATAAGTAAATAAATAAATCAGTTTTTGAAAAAGAAAATAGCGCATGTAAGAGGAAACATTCATATTCTGAGAAAGCCGGGGCAAGGAGAGTGACGAGGCTTGCTTTTTATCAGTGTCAATCTTTTTGGCATAAGTAAGGTGTCCCCTGTGAGAGATTGTAAGTCCTTCCAAGGTCAGTGTTCTGGAGTATCTCTCACCAGGTGACACCTCTTAGAGATGCCACCACCTCAACATCACCACACTGGGGACCACGCCTCCAACCCAAGGACCCTGGGATAATTCATTCAGCGTAGGCGTATTAAGGTATTATCACCTCCCCGTGATGAATTAACCATCTGGCCGGAGGAATTAATAATTAACATTATCACTGGCTGCAAGTGACTACTGTGCACTGAAGTATGTTTAGCAATGTTTCAGCCTTTTTCCACCACTAACACAGCCTCACTCTTCCTTGAGGATATGGACAAGGAAGCTCTCACTATACATTGCCAAGCATGCCGAGGGCAGAGCTCAGCTCATTTGGGAACCACTGCTCTATCCTGTAGACCCCCTGAAAAGACTTCAGTGAGCCCAAATCTGTGCTAAGACAGTGGCGGGTGATATCATTTCCTGGTACTCAGTCTATGGAAGTCTCGGAGCCTAGGGGATTCTGTGAGCTGAAACTTCAGGAATGGCTCGAGTTTGTAATGTGTTTCCTGGAGGTAGGAACAGGGGCCAGTGAGGAGTAGCTCTCTCAGACTAAACATCACATAAAATAGGCATGCTGCTGAGAATGAAGACATGGGGCCAGATACAAAAGTGAATGACCAAGTAGAGGAATGGATGGATGAACAAATTCAAGCTGCATAATTCAAGCGGCACAGCAGTCTGGAGTTCTGTGATGCTGCAGGCGTGGCTGTGTGAGTCACCTCACGTGCACAACTCTGTGACATACTGCAGACACTCCTGGTAAGAACACAGTGGCTAGCACTGGGTCTAGAGTTAATGCTTCCCACCTTACAGCCTTGCTTCGAGGCACTGCAACAGAGACTTGTTAATATGCCTTGCCAGATCTCTCTGCTTATGTACATAAAATGAACGCTTCATCTCATTTGGGGAGACAAAATGGAATCATGCCTATGAATTCTTAACTTCATTCCTATAGCCCAGTGAGCACTTCATAAGAGCAGGTGACTGAGGTTGTCCTTGCACTGAGAGAATGAAGATGCCAAGACTTCTCCCAAATTTTAGATGCCAGTATGTTCCAGAATAGTCCCAGAACTTCCTAACAATGCTGAAATTTCCCTTTCAGGAAAAGAAAAAATTGTAAAAGCTGAGGGAAGTTCCCAAAGAGTAGGGAGAGCTGCATCTAGCCCCTTCAACTGACTTCTTGGCAGGAGAAATCAGGCCACTGGGGATGGGATGGCAGTCATTTCTTGATGATAGGATCTCTGTGAGCAGGTTCTTCCCTGTTGGCCAAATTGAGAACAGGTCGTTACTCTGAGATAGCTGAGAGGCTAGGAAGCTGTTTTCTTTCTGCTCTTGCTGTCCTGTGCCATGTGGAATAGTCTTCAAATGAGAAATGGAATGGGTTAGGAGAGCTGGAGGATGGGGGCTGCACACTCAGTGCAGATGGTGGCGGCTAGTTTCCCTTTGACCGGCATCAGCTGGAAACACAGGATGCCCTGTGACATAAAACCTTGGCCTTGTTCCTCAGCAGAATGTAAAGCGGAGACTGCCAAGAAAGGTCCAAGTCACCACTCACCTAGGCATCGGTGGATGGCAGAACATTAAAACAATGTCCTCTCTTTGTGTGTTTTCCAGGTTGGAGCAGGAAATCCAGGCGCTGGAAAGTGAAGAGTCCCAGATATCTGCCAAAGAGCAAATCATCCTAGAGAAACTCAAGGAGACAGAGAAATCCTACAAGGAGCTGCAGAAGGTGAAGCAAAGAACCCTGGTGTCCCTAAATGAAATCCAGGTCATGGGGGCAGGGGAGGAATGGTGCAAAGATTAAGTCCTGGACAAGGGGCACCAGCTGGAGAACAAGGCAGCAGGTGTTGCTGAGAAATCCGAACCACCCACCCTGGACATGAGGGGCAGGTGTGAGGACCAGGTGCTGCCCCAGTGCTGGGCGTGGCCTGTGGCATGGTGACCACCTGGGCTCCTGGGACATGATAGAGTCACCAGATTAACCCCAGTGAGCAGTTCCCTTGATCCCTCTTGTGCCTTAAGCCTGAAAAGCCTTCTCCTGTTGGACAGGAGAAACGTACAGCTAATTCCTATGAAGCAGATTCCTCTTGCTCCCTGTGGCTTTAATTGCACCGTGTTTTTTCAGTCTTTTCCTTTGTAAAAAGACCAAAAGCAACACCATAGGATGTGCATCCCAAACATAAGCAGTATAAGAAGGTGATACTTTACTGTGTGTGAAACACATGGTGTTGTGTCACCAGGAGTAGAAAGTCCAGAGTGCAGAGGTCTCTGAATGTATCAGGACCCTCCTTCCATTGATGGACTTCTGTTTCTTCATTATTTCCATGGTGAAAAGCATTTAAGGATTGTGGGGTTTTCTTAGATCACTTCTCCAATTCAAGCAAGCCTGTGTTCTGGATAAACCAAGTCAATCTCTACTGGGAGAAATTTGGCACGGAGGGGAATGATAATCCGTCCCCTGGCATGTATTGATCCCAAACAAACTTCTCAGGAGAGGAGAACACTGAGTTTGTTCCCCATGGTGAAAATCTGGCAGGGGATGGGAGTGGGAGTTGGAGACTGGCTGACTGGTGGGACAGTGCCCCAACCCTCGCGTGTATAGTAACGTGTTGCCCTGCTTTTGTCTCCACAGAGCTTCTCCAACACGGATGGAGGTAAGTGCGCTCCGCCCCAGCTATAGATGAGAGTTCTGCTCCTGGTCGAGCCTAGTGAGTTTCACTAACTCGTGCTCCACCTGGGACCAAATATGATGGTTTACAAGGCCTCCAAAGGAAGGGGCAGCACAACTGGCAGGGCACAGGGGAGAGCCAGGTTGTCAGGTTTCACTGGTTCTGTTTCACAGTTGACCTGGTCTGCTCCTTCAGGAGGGCCCCAAGGCTCCCTGCTTGGGCCTCTGTTGAAAGGTAAATGCAGACATCAGGGCCAGGTTCCTGACAAGAAGTTGCCCAGGTGTCCATCAGCCACCACCACCCCCATACCACAAGTAACAGTATACATCAGAAGGCCAATGTTTGATCTTTAGAAAATATTTCTAAGACTTCTCTTTTGTTGGTTTTCTTTTGTTTTCTTTTTGAGTCAGAAAACTGCCATTTCTCCAGCCTTCCAGCAACATGGAGCTGGGCAAAAAATGGGAATGTGTGAAGGACGAGAACTGGGGCCCTGGTTTGGGAAGCCCATCTTGGCCTGAATGGATCTTTCTCCTCCTCTTCCTTACCTTGTTCCTGGGCTCCCTTTTCCTTACCTGGGTCATGGGAATGAACTTGGGTTGCGTGCTGCTGGTCCTTCACCTTGCTCCCCAACCTCAGCTACAAATCTGTGACTGCTGTTCTGTTGTGGCTCTCAACTATAGACCTGCCTTGGCTTGCAGGGAGCTGCTGAAGGGTCAGGCACTGTCTGATCACTTGGTTCCCCTGGGGTCAGCCAGGAGACCAGGAAGAGAACCAAGAGCCAGAGAACTGGCATCAGCGTGTTTTCTCAGAGCTATTTGGAACAGTTTGAGCAAAAGTTCAAAATGCAGCAGACATGTAATGCATTTTTCTGGATTTCCTAAAGGTCTTTGAACTAAAGATAGATCTGACTTTGGCCACAAAAGGAAAAAAAAAAAAAAAAAAGGCAGTAGACTTCCCCCCCCCCCCCCATCAAGTTAAAGATAGGAGATCTGGATTTTGGTCCCTGGTTGATCATGGCAAGAAATGAAACTAAACCTGCTCCCAAGGCGTGCTGGCCTTGCCAAGGCAGCAGGTCCTCCAGGAGCAGGAGTTCTAAAGGTGAGATGCTGAATCCGTCCGCTGTAGGGTATAACTGAATCACATGTTCTATACTCTGTGGTGGAGCCTACACTGAGAGAGAGGCTTCAGGGAACTGGGAGTGCCATGTGAGGAGGAGAGCAGGCTTCCCTGTTGCACAGGAAGGCCCAACCCTTCATGTGACCAACAGGAACGCTGGAAGTGTCAATCTGAGCTGGGTCTGAGACCTCAACCCTCAAACAGCCCGTTCCTGAAGACTACATCCTGTCCTTTTCTGAGTTCACTTATTTTTTCCCTTCCTCTGTCAAATCACAACCTTCCATAGGCTTCTGACTAAGAATTCAAGAAGGGAAGGAGCCTGCATGTTGCACCCTTGAGAGGGCTCTGTGGTCATGAAGACCCCTGTAATCATGATTTGGAAGCAAGCAGAAGTGAAACCATGTGTTCTCTCTTTACTTTTTACTCTCTCACTTCCTCTTGAGTTCCTTCCCACTGTTGCCACCCGCTCACAGTTCATGGAAATGGGACGAATGCTGGTCAGGACTGAAAAGGGCCTGCAGAGGAGTTTTGCTTCTCTGATTCCAACCCCCATCACTTTTTGCCAGAAAGATGAGCTCAGGCTTAAGAGGTTGCAGATGTCGTGGGGATGTCGGAGAAGAGTTTCCACAGCCCCACCTGTCATCATGGATTGTGATTCCTGCCATCCTGTGGCTTCAGCTAAACCAGGGTGACCTCTCTGTTATACCACTTTGTCATTGATGGCTGAGCCACACTGTGGTGTGGAGGTACAACGTGAATCATGTGCCAGCTGAGGGACTTTGGGTTAAGGCTTAGGGCTGATTAGGGTTAAGGATCATTATTTTCTTATGCTTTGATGTCTAAGGCTGTTGCCAAAACCCTTTAGAATCAACTGTTGTTACTAGGAACTAATAAAAGCTCATTAGAGAATAATGATGCCTTAGGAAAGATCTTCAGCTTCTGACTTAAATCCTGTGAACTGTACAGGTGCTATTGATAAACAGCAGACTCCCAGCTTAGGAGGTACCAAGGAGGAGACAGCTGCTGGGGTCTATGTGTGTGTGATGGCCCCTCTTTGGGTACTCTGTGCACATCACCCTATTCATCTCAGAGGAAATAGCTGTGTTGTACTGCTAGATTACCACTGGCTTTCAGTTGTATGGTGGTATTGACAGTAGGAGCAATGGAGCCAATCTGGAGCACAATTTCCTGGATATATATATCCTGATGACCCTCCACGCTTCCCACTGATGTTCTGTAGTAGAGCCCCCATTGATTAGGTGAGTTTAATTTTTATTGCCTCAGACTGGCGCAGTGTCCTGTGTAACTATCAATTGCATATAGCATGTATCTAGTGATAACACTGTTCTTTACTCACTGAGGAGCTAGCGTTAATCCCTTGGCCCAAACAGGCAAGAGAAAGTCTGTCTTGGGCCTACATTGATCCTTCCTGTGTGATACTGATCTTGAGTTTTCATCCCATGCCAACCTTTGGTGCCCTGGAACCTTTTCACATAAAAACCTTCATACCAGTGTTTAGGAGACCTCCATCTTGTAAGTCATAGTTCAGGAGCAATTTCATCAGTTGCATTCCTCGACCTCTGGCTGTGTATGTTCTTCATAGTTTCTGTGAATATTTCAGCAATGCTGGAACTGAGAAGCAGTCATCTTCAGTTTCTGCTGTGAGTGACTGCTTCCCACCTTATCGGCACTGGAGAGGACAGTGAGGACCACCTTGACTTTGACATGGAGAGAGCAGGTGACCGACTGAGGTCACCTGAAGAGATGATTCCATAGAGGGTTTGGAGATCCTGTTGGTTACCCCTTGGACCAATCTATCAGATACGACCTAGCCACACAGTCTTGGGGTTTATTGAATACTTGATGATCTAGGGAAAGGGACTCCCCATCCTCCTCTTGGTGTCTGTCCTTTATGCCACCCTCCTGCTTCCCTGGCCTTCAAGGAGCTGCAGCCATCAAGCTTGTAGCCACTGAGTTTTGGATCAATGATTTGTCTTTGTCACAGCCGAGTGTACATAGTGATTTGTATCAAGATCCCATTCACAGATTATAGATTTGGGTTAATGGAGAGCCTTTGTCACAGTTTAATGCACATAGTCTGCTGTATCAAGATCCATTCACAGATTATAGAAATCCTCAGTGGAACTCAGAAGGTCTTCAGGTCTGCCCTAGCACCATGTCTCTTCTACATTTTTCTTTGGTCCCAGATTGCTGCTTTATTGCATGGACTTGATGCTATTGGTTTGTCCCTACCCTCAGGACCAGCTTACCTCAAGCTGCCCTCTCTCTCTCTAGTCTTACCTTGAGCTGGTTTGGGACACAGACCCTTACCACACTTCTCCATAGTGAGAGTATAGGCAAATCTGCAGTCTAAGTTCAGGAATAATGGAAGTTCAGATCAACAGAGAATAACATTCAACCTTGAACATGTGGTTGTACATATAGCCCTTGGCTCCCATCCAGACCCTTCTCCAGGGAGCTCCACAGGCTGCTTCATGGTCATCTATCTCACTGCTCACCATCATCTCAAAACCCAGCTTCCTCCCCTGCAGTAACAAGACCTTAAACCATGTCTGTCCCACCCATGATACAGGTTCTAGCACACATGAGACCCCAGAGAGAGAAGGTAACTGGAGCCTCACTCACTCCAATCTAAGGAAGCATGTCTAATCCTTATTCCTTCTCCCCAGCTGGTCCATTTCAAGAAACCCATTCTCTTAAGAAGCTCCACCTTTGCTCTAAGCACTTTGTGGTCCAAAGTCAAACCATTCTGGATTGTTCAGACTCATATCCAAGTTGACAAATGGCTCGGTTAGGTCAGAACTGAACTAATTCTAGTTGAGTGTCTGATTACAGTCATCTCTAGAAGAAAATATTTAAAAAGAGAGAAAAAGATCTGCCACAACCCAGGCAGGATCTGTGGGTCACAGAGGAGGAGAGATGTGGAGGTGACAAAGGTTGTGACTGATGTTCACAGGGGGAGCAATTCGGGGCACTGTTGGGCTGATGGGTGAACAATGACATGAATGGATTGGGCGCAGGAAAACAGCAGATGAGCAGGGACACAAGTCTTGCTTTGGACAAGTTCAATTTCAGGTGACTGTAGGATATTCAGTGGAAACATACAGCAAACAATGAAAGGAAATTGTTGATAAGTGGTTGCTGTTCCAGGATTCTGTGACATGGTCATGATGTAAGGAAAAAATCAGATCCCATGGAGGCCAGCTTTCTAAAATCTACCTGCCGTCATTTCCCCGCTTCCCGTATGAGGCACACAGAACATTCTTGTCCCACCCCAGTGATGTCCTCTGCAGACCTCCTCTTGCACAGGACTCTTCTCCCTAAATGAGTTTGTTGGAGCGTTAAGTTCTTGGTCTTATTTTACAGAGCAGTTTCCTCCAGCAGAACCAATGGTGAACTCACTGGATATTATAGCTTGGAATTTCTGGATTTTCTGGCTGAAACAACAGCCTGTGATAAATTCTAGGGTTTATCTTAATGCACAGAATATTGGTCTTCTGAGTAAACTAGGCATATAAATCCATGTAAGTTCAGGCAATGAGTTGATACTCAATGCTATTTAATGTGCATTCGTAGTGCTGTATTTTATATTTAACTAATTCCATAAAGCTTCTCACTGGCCTGACTCTTATGTCTAGAATCCTCTTTGGCTAGAATCCTTCCTATCTCAGCTACTCTGCTAAATACCAGTCACTGGGCAAATGCTCATCTTTGTTTATTCTGATCCTCTGGTTCAGTAGCTGCCCCGTGGTCCATTATGTAAGGCAGACAAGCTGCTGTCTCGGCAGAGAACTCATTGGGCCTACTAACACTGAGCCTAATTGTGCTCTCTGTTCTCTGCTACCAGATGCAGTAAATTACATTTCCTCCCAGCTCCCCAACCTGCCAATCCTCTGTTCACGAACAGCAGAGTTGTCACCTGGGCAGGACGGGACCAGCAGAGCAGCTGGTAAGTCCTGGGGAATGCTTTGGTTTTCATGCCAGGACTGTCCAAGTTTGTCTGAGCTTGATTAGTGATATGGGTGCCCTAATATCCTTATATAGGGGACTCCTCCTTCAGCCCATCCCCAGATGCAGCATGTACAGTGACAGCATAGGGCTGAGTGTAAAAAATCATATGTACAGTATGATGCATAATTGAGAACTAAATGGGAGGAAATTTTACCTCTGGTTCTGGGGAAATCTTTCTCTGTGTTCATGATCTTTCTATTTGTCTTTATTCTTAAAATCAGTCCGTTATACTTGACCTTCAGGGATTTTGTATAAACCCTCATTGGGTTTGTACAAACCAAAAGATCCATGCTGGAAAGTGGGTGAGAAGTCATTTCAAAGCAAATGAACGCTGTGGAAATTGAGCTGTTTGTGTATAGTGTGAATACACCTTCCCAAGTCTTCTCCTTTCTGGAGATATTCCTTAACTACGTTGGTATATTTTGAGGGGAGTGGGAAGTTGTAATCGAAAGAGCATACATTCCTTGATAATGTTTCTCACATTTGTGGATTTTACAAAATAAAACACCTATAGATGTGGAGTATGGAGAAGGTCATGTTTTGCCCTGTTGAATGCACATATGCCTTGAAAATCAGAACTGGAAGATGTTAAAAAGTCTCAACAGTAACCCATTTATACTACGCGGAAGTGCAGTGAGGGGGTTAAATGGAAAAAGGAGTTGCCAACAATTGCACAGTTACTGACAACGCACGTGAACTCAACTATGAGTGCTAGGCTATGTTTTACATATTCTGTATTAAGTTTATGCTTAAAATAAATCACACAGTAACATCTATTACAAAGCAAAACAATAGTGAATTTTTAAGCCATAGGAAATCTCTTCTATAGGCCAGCCTGATATTTTGTAAAGCAAATAATTCCTCTTTATCTGATTGTAAAAGTAAAATAAAAGGCAAATAAATCTCGATAGCATTGTCATGCTCAGTGGCTTTATTTTTTTAATTTACTTCCTAACATATCATTTATTTGTGGTGAGAGCATTTGGAATCTATTGTCTTAGCAATTTTAAGGTATATAATGCATTGTTATTCAGTGCAGTCACCATGTTGTACAGTCTCTTAAACTTATCCTTCCTAACTGAAAAACGTGTACTATTTGAGTAGCTTTTCTCCGCAGTCCTCCCCCCTGCCCCTACCCCACCCCTGCGGACTGTCTCTGTGCTCCTGAGTCTGTGAGTTCACCTTGCTGAGCTTTCACACATCACTGGATTCTTAACAGTACCGGTTTTTCCGTATTTGGCTTATTTCACTTAACGTAGTATCTTCCCTGCTGTTGTAAATGTCAGGTTTTCCTTCTTTTTTCAAGGCTGAGTAGTACTCCGCCGTGTATATACCACATTTTCTTTATCCATCTCTCTATTGGTGGATACTTAGGTTCTTTCTGTATATTAGCTGTTGTGAATATACTGACTGAATTTACGTATCTCCTGGACATTCTGTAAACACCTTTGAATGTTGTTGTTACTCACAAACTCACAAGAGTTCTAGCAGTGGACAAGACTGTAAGTAGTATTATATCAACCCTGGGCCAGGACCGAGTATCCCTGGCTATCCTACCGTTATGCTACAACCAACTCACCAAGAATTACAGAAGCTATAGACTCTTTTCAGGACTCGTGTACGCTTGTGAGATCAACATGGCAACAACTGTTGAAAAGGCACTTGGTGTTGGTAATTCCCAATGGTTGTGGGCAGTTCCTCAGCTCCTCTCCACAAATTCCTGCATCTCACAGGAATGTGACACTGATGGATCAGCTCATGGATTGGATGCAGACAGTGCATGAGAATCAGCTCGTGGATTGGATGCAGACAGTGCATGAGAATTAATTCTGTGGGTTAGAAGAGGATTTGAGCAACATACGTATTCAGTGAATGCAGAGTTCAGGAGTAATCTATCAATGTGGGATGACACCCTGCAAGTGGGAACACACATTCTCCCCAGCCTGGCATCCTTTGTACTTAAAGTTACTATAAAAATATAAGGACCCAAATTTAAAAATGTAGATTTTAAAAGAATAGGTAATTAGAAACTTTAAAAAATAAGTTTGTATGATTTTTGTTTACTAGTAAAAAACTGGTTTGTATAAATGCATTTAATATGAAATATATAGGAGCAGCTCTGTAAAAGATGTTGCTTTGAAGTGGCTAATTCCCTTGCCCAGAATGATTTGGGATTGGGGTGTTGAGGTTCATTGTCAGTTATTTTTTACAATAATTAGACACAGCAAGGGTTAGCCTGCCAACCAATGTCGTTTGTCACCACCATTCTTCTATATAAAGGTCACTACTGAAAATCGTCACAGATACTCTGGAGTTTGACAGTGTTGGGATTCCGTGTAAATAGGGACTTAGCTAGACTCATTGCATTTCAGAGCGAGGAAGCATCGGTTCCAATCTCCTGTCCAAACACTGAACCCTGCCCCAGCAGCCCCGTGAAGAGCTCCTTCACCTGCAGTCTCACACCTCTGTGCCTGGAACTCAATCTCCCTTCAGGCTGCCTACTGCTGCTCCAGTTTATCTGGCTATTAGCAAGCTCTTCCTCTGTTGGAGCTCTCCTTTGTCTGCCTTCATCTCCCCATGCTCAGGCCTTACTATGCCCCCCACCCGGAGTTAGTCAAATCTGATCTCCCTTCCAGTACATGAAAAGGGCCTTCCTAGCTTCTTAGTCTAAAGCCTCCCTCGCCTCACGGCTGATCTTGAGAGGATGAAATTGCCTAGAGACATGGCATCTCATTCCTGTTCCATTCTTCTGAACACTCCCTACTTTGTCTGCAGCCTTCTTGAAGTGTCCTGCTCAAGGCTGCGCAGGGCGCTTTGGCTGATCCACCCTAAGAGTAGAGCATAATGCCGCGGACCGTATGCTGACTGTTCTTGTGTCAGAACCTTTCAGCTTTGTTCCTTCAAGGAGGGCATCGAAGTGAGCCCCTATGTCCTGCCTCAGCCTCATTTCCTTTCCAGTAGAGTGATTATTGGGCATCATCCCTGTTGAAACGTGTGGTCCATCCCCCCGAGTTTGAGCAGCCTGCTTCACCTGCGCGCACAGGGAACTTAACAAAATTAACTTCTTAATTTCAAAAGACAAAAATAAGAATGACCTATGAGCCTTTCTGTCCCCTGTAGATCTAGCAAGCATCGTCTTGGTAGGCTGTCTCCTGAGAGGGGCGTGGTGATGGTGTTGGTGGTTGAGGTGGGTGGAGGGGTTCGTGCAATCACTGAAGAACACGGTGGAAGATGGGAGGGGTGTGCTGAGTGGGCCTTGACCCTAGGGTGTCACTGTTCTCCCCCATTTGAAACGCAGACGCTCCTCCACCTCTGTGTTTCTGTGTCTGTCATATTTCACTTGAGTCCAGGGTCTAACAGCTTTGAGAATAGAGAACTCTCTCTTGTGGAACGTCTCTTCTGTGACCTCAGACCTGAAAAGTGGCCTTACCTCATCTCATTGAGGAAAGCATTGTGTTATGCAACCAAAGCCAGAGCAGTGGGACATACCACCAGGGCTCTTGAGCAATCCTCAATCAGTACATCTGTGATGTAATCATGCCATCACTGACCAGTTCTGGCAGTCGTTCTGTATGTAAAGCACGTATTCCTGTCTTATCCACAGGAGTGTGAGAGACTTAGTGACAGCCACATACACAGTATTGTTGGCATTTGCCTGCTCTTTCCACAAGCCTTGAACAGAGTCATCTATAGTTTTATGTGAATCTGTATCATTTTGCCTGCCAAAACAACACTGGCTCTTGATACTTTCATATTTTAAAAAATGATTTAGTTATCTGTGTATTTATAAGACAAAATGGCATGGGGAGAGTAAGAGAGATTTTTTGGTCTACTGGTTCATTCCCCAAATGGCTGAAACAGCCAGTGCTGGGCCCGGCAGAAGCCAGAACCAGGAACTCTATCTATGTCTCTCCCATGGATGGCAGGGGCTCAAGCAGCTGTCTTCCCAGGTGCATTAACAAAGCAACTGGAGCAGACACAAAGTAGCCAGAACCTGAAACAGCATTCCAGTATGGGATTTCAGGATTACAAGTAGTGGCCAAACCTCCAGTACCTTTCCTGGTGTCCAGGATTCTTGAAACTAGATTGGTGGTAAAGCAACAGGGCCGCTAGGCCCAAAACCCATATCTCAGGTGCTTTGCGACTTTCTAATTTGTTATGACCAGGAATTCACTTACATCTAACGGTATTCTTTCTGGCACTTTTCACTGAAAACTTTTTCTTGACTAAAAAGAAAGAAGTTGAATCAGATGCAAGAAATTTAGTTTTGCCTGCATTACCTATCGACATTACACCTTTGCTGACTTACACACACACACTAGGAAAATGTGTTGTGGAGGCCAAAAGTCCAGGATCAGTGGAGTCAGGATTGGTTCCAGGAGTGAGGATGAGTGAGTTCCATGCCACTTCCATGACTTATCTACAGCTCATGCATTCTTTATTTACTGCTTGGATTTCCTAAAAAGTATCACATAATTGTACATATTATAAGTTACAGTGGGATAATTCCTTGTGTGTACACAAAATGAAATAGCATTTCCATCTTCTTAAATGTTAATCACTTCTTTGTGTTGCGAACCTTAGAACACCTCTCTCTCCTGCTACTTTATAAAATAAATCATGGGTTGTTGCAAACTACTGTTTGTTCTGCTGTGCTGTTGAATACAGAGGTGTCTTGGGGAAATAATGCATCCCAAGACATTTTTGATCATTGTTTCTTAAAATTAGAGATTGTCCTCTGGGATAAGATTAATTCAGTGATAATTAATTACCTTGTGGTTTTTTTGTTTTTTTGTTTTTTTGGTTTTTTTTTGCTGTTGACATGAAAACAGCCAGTTTTATATTTCTTGTTTCAAGAGAAAATATGAACCTACACACACATATGTGTATTCAGTAAGTCAGACAAATGCGTTGGCTGTCTGTCACATTAGCAGATTG